TATAGAAATGTGAACCCAGCTGGGATAGGCTAAAAATATTCAGTCTGGATCCCTGTAGTTTTTAAACACTGATTCTTCTTTGAAACCCTACTCTGAATGTTCAACCCTACTTTGGAACACTGCTCCGAAACCATTCCCCTACTTTCAACCCCCTTTTCGAAACGCTGACCCTAACCCTACTTTGAAATCTGAGGTCACTCATTCTCTTCGTTTAACTTTACGACAGAGAAAAATCATCAAAAATCGGTAGATTTTTAAAAATGATTTATTTAGTAATGTATTACTGTGTTGAAAAATGGCAACATTCATAATTTTTTTAAATGTTATTTTCTTATGTTAACACCTAATATTGGCCTATGAGATTGGCTAGATCTGATTCATCGGTTGGGCCCTGGTTGTTACACTCTTTATATTCACTTGCCAGAACATAGTACTCTTTATCTTTTTTTGTGTGTCTGTGTGTGCGCGCGTGTGTGTGCGTGTTATGCAGAAAGAGGCAGCGAAAACAAGCGCTGCAACCAAACCAAGCAGGAACCATCATCAGAGGTTGGAAAACATTGTCAAGCAGACCACAGTGGAGCCCAGGGTGAGACACCGAGCCTACTTTGTAGTTGTTTTTATTTGTTCCTTTTTTTGTATTATAACGTATATAATAAAAAGGTAGATAATTATAATAAATACAAAAGCATTTTACTAATAGCAAGTACCATATGAAAAAATACCATTCACCCTAAACTGATTGATGTGAGTATACAGTACAGGTATATGGTTGACAAATCTTGAAGTTGTGATGTGCAAGTTTCAGCTGCTGCCTGAAGGCGGTGCTAGTGAGTACAATTGCTGTCGTTTGAAATAGAAATGAGGACAATTGGACGCAACCGGGATGAAGTCCCGCATGGTGAGACTGTGAATTTAGGCTAATGAAGACTGGAAGTATTTCTTGACCTTAAATTAGGCCATTTCTGACTTGTGACTTCTAACTGAGTTCACAATTTTTAAACTGCTGGTGAGATTTGAAGATGGCCTCTTTTCAGTTTCAACAAATATGACAAAAAAGTTTTTTTGAACGCCAAACCCCCACCCTTGAACTTCTCAATGTTCTTGCGTCCTAACAGCAAGCGGTGGACTTTTTTGGTCGCCCCGTTGCACCCAAACAGACGACAGCGGCTTCATCTTCAGACACAGGTACTGAAAAAAAAAAAAGTGTTCATTTCCACTGACTGGTACTGTTTGTTTTGCGATGGTAAATCATCATCTGGATTGTGTATTTCCATGAAGCGGCTTTGTCGATCTGAAAATACAACTTACAGAGGCTTAAAAAAAATCCTAAAACAATGGCTCTCAGTTTACTAATAACTGATACAATCCATTTTCACAGTGTTTTAATATTATCGCAATACATGTGGATAAAATAAGATTGTATTTTACAGTACAGTCAACTCCCGTTTATGTTCCAGACCTGCCACAGTGATATTGCAAGACCGTTAGGTTTTTAAAAAATATACGTGTGTGTGTGCGCGCGTGCGTGCGTAGGCAGGCAGCCCGGTGGTGCAGTGGTTAGCACGTCGACCTCACAGTGCAGAGGTGTAGGGTTCAATTCCAGCTCTGGCCTCCCTGTGTGGAATTTTCATGTTCTCCCCGGGCCTATGTGGGTTTTCTCCGGGTGCTCCGGTTTCCTCCAACATTCCAAAAACATGCATGGAAGGCTGATTGAAGATTCTAAATTTTCCCGAGGTGTGAGTGTGGATGGTTGTTCGTCTCTGTGTGCCCTGCGACTGGCTGGCAACCGGTTCAGGGTGTCCCTTGCCTACTGCCCGAAGACGGCTGGGATAGGCTCCAGCACCCCCTGCGACCCTTGTGAGGATAAGTGGATCGGAAAAATGGGTGTGTGTGTGTGTGTGTGTGTGTGTGTGTGTGTGTGTGCGCGCGTGTGTGTGTTTTAGATATGTGCATGTGACTTTAAGAGGTGGGGCCTGTTGATTACACGTGACAGCTGCGAGTGGCCACAATCACCTAAGCAGCATAGAAAATGAATGGATGACTTCCAAAAAAATAAATGTGTTCCTCAAAAATCCTCACCGTTTTTGGGCACCCCTTTGTGTAGTTTGCTTATTCCCCGTACTGGCACTAGTGAACCGTAGAAGTGACCCGGCAGATCCACAGGGACAAGATCTTAAAAGCAATCCTCTCTCTGTCACTCTGTCTACAAGGCCAGAAGTGCGCCGTGCTCGCCATGGGGAAGGCGGTGGGCAACAGCGATGTGTGGTTCCGCTTCAACGAAGGCATGTCCAACGCTGTGCGACGCAACGTTTACATCCGGGAACTCCTGTAGCCTGCCCCCCACCTCCCGACCAAAAACACACAAGTATGCCACCGCTTTGGTTCAATTAAATTCTAAACAGTCTTTATTTTTGATTGACAGTGTAAAGAGCCAATAAAAACAAACATCTAAAAAGCTACTCGGCGCCATGCACACACGCACACACACGGCAGTCTTAAAATAAGAGCATTCAAAGAATCCAAATAAATAAATAGTTATAGCAGTGCGTAGGTATATGTGTGTGCGCGCGTGTGTGTTTGGTGCAGCATGACTGTGTGAGTGCACATTATTTGTGGTGCATCCGTGCATTGAGTGCGAAGATGTATTTTCACGCCAGTGCGATCATCAGAGGATCACACACTTCCCCTTCTCCACCCAGGGATTTGCTCTCATCAGCTCAGGGTTCAGGAAAGGGTCCTCGCACACGCAACTCTCAATCCACTTCACCAACCTGAAGAAAAATGTGCACTTTAGGCAGATCACACTTGATTATACAGAGCGGTGTACCAATAAACAACCCTTGGATTAAGTATCCACTATTAAATGCAAGGCCCGTTATTGTGCATATTTCTATTTCATAACCACAAATGATCATTTTGTACACTCAATAAATCTATTGGTCACATTTTGGCCACAATTTAAAAAACAATTCCCGATGCCAATGTCCGAGGCTCGCTACATAAATATTTCAGTATGCATGTTGTTTATACTCACTCGGTGACTGTGATGGAAGACTTCTCCCTGTTGATGGCCAGCTGATACTGAAGAGATTCCACTTCCCTCCGCATTTGGGGAACGTCTAAGTCGTCCATCGTCGATATTAGTGACGCTGCCCGAACGACAAAATGGAAAGAGCGCGTTATCGAAGCTGCTCTGGTGTTTTGACATCAATAGTAGTCTCAAAATAGCTCCAGTCTTCAAGTGCTAAACATGTCTCTTTGTTTGCGGCAGAAAGACTCAGGAGAGACTGACGCAATCAATCGATTGAGAGCATTACACATTTTTTTTAAAATCAGAAATTGATTCTGCTCGAAATGTGTGTGGGGGTGGGGGGGACAGGATTATATCGGCTTTTTCATTTTGTTTTGACTTTTTTTTTTTAATTCAGTTTTAATTACTTTTTTAGAGTGGGTTTGTCTTTTTTCAAAAATCCTTCGTTTTATTTTTAATAGTTTTAGTATATTTTTACTTGTCCATGTGGAGTATTTGTTGCATGATATAAAAAGGTTACAATAAATATTGTGTAATAAGGTAAACTACAATGCCCCCTCCCAAAAAAGATTATCTTGTACGGCTGTACAATGTCAAAATACATTTAAAATAAACCTTGAAAGCTCATGTATGAACTTAATTGACAGATTGAACGAAGGACTTTTTAGCTTTGATTCCAGTTAGTTAGTCGTCTTACGAGGAATGATTTATTGTTTTTAAGAGCACTGTTTCATTTCGTCCAAAAATATATATATTTTTTCCCAATTTTAGGATGTTATTTCGTGAATTTTCGTTAACTATAACAACCCTAGTTCTCCTACACACCCAGTTCTGGGTCATTGAACGTTTTGAGAGAACCTAAGAATCAAAAGTTACCTGAAGGTTAAGCGCCTATTTTGGACACAACTGCATCTTAATATGACTAAAACGCTCACTTCTGCTAGCCTCTCTCCTTCCGTGCCCCACCCTGCCGGGCTGCGGTTTATAAAGCCGGATGAGGCCGCCCGAGACCCCGTTTGGGAATCATAAATCACGGATCTCTTTCCCACCAGCTCATCTGTTTAATGGATCTCGCGTTAAGTAGGTCGAGTCGCCTCCTCCATCAGCATCCGCCCTCCGTGCGTCTGTCGAGGCCGGCCGCTCCACAAAATCAGACCGCTTCCAATGTACGCTTACCCCCCCCCCAATTAATTAATAATAATCACATCAAGACGCAGAATTCTCGATTGGTTAGCTTCAAAGTGTCTCGGTCGTTAGCACTACGCAAATATTCGAGCATCGGGGCCTACCGGAAAGTCCGCCCGGTGATCAGCAGCCGATGGCAGGCGAAGGCGAAGCTGGACGACCGGTAATGAGCTCAGACGTCGGTTCGGTAGTCTGGTCCCGGTTCGAGCGAAGAGGTGGTTTAATGGTGGAGGATGCGGCGGGTGTATGTTGGGCACTCCCCAGCGTTTGCGACAGGATGGAGGTGGACCGAGGGGGCGGGTCCGGGCCGTCTGCTTTGACTGGCAAAGCGTGCGCGCACCTGCATGCAAACGTGAGAGGCGCGCGCACGCAAATGAGGACGATGAATCAGGTCGCGTTGACTCGGTGATAGTTTATGCTGTGTACTTTCATTGAGCGAGGAATTTAAGTACTCAGATTCTGCAAGAAGTACTGATGCGATGCAACTCCCTGACAAAAGAAGAGCTCTTTTTAAAATGTCAGTACAGCTACTCGTGCTTCAGCACCGGTGGACTAGCTTTTGTTTCTGGATTTCCCTCGTTTCTCCGTATACTGAATGTTTATCACGGCCGTTTTCAAAGTTGTTGATGTAGAACATAAAAAATAGTCCTTCCACTTGTGCATTTCAATGGGCTTCCTTTTTTTCAATCTGGGAGTAATGAACCTTATCTTATGTATGCTTTTAACATAGTCCACACAACACAAGGAAACAAATGCCATAAAAAACACACACAGACCACAATTGTTCCTTTGACAATTAACGTTTTATGTAAAACACACTTTTCAGGATCCTCAAACGATTTAGACAAAACTGGGAAGGGGGTGTTCAGGGTGTTGAAGCATTAAATGCGGCAGCCTGCTGTGTACAAGCGGGACTGCAGACAGCCCCCGCGCTGTTTATATTTAACATTCAGCAGTGGTGTGAATGTCTCGAAGGACGCCAAGAACACTGTCACCTGTGGTGAGAGAGGAAAGAGGAATTAGCACTTTTATTTGAACCAATGATGGTGTCTAACATCAAGTTTATAAGCCTCAGTTTAAAATCTTAGAATCATGAAGTTCAACTGTCATAGTAGGTGTCAGAAAAACTATTTTATTTGCATCACCGGCTCAAAAGAGGCTCACTCATAGTTTCATTATAAACTCACCAACTTTCAGATCCTGTCGGGTGATATGCGTCCTCAACTCAGACCGGTGCCTCTAAACCTTTGCGGCATGTTACTATGTATAAGAAAAACAATAATTATGAGGTGACTGAAAATGCATTCTAATTTTTTTAAACAATGATCATGAAGCCTCAGGATAAAAAGTAGAATCACAAGCTGTAGGGCAGCTGTCATAGTAGGTGTCAGAAAAGTTAATTGATTTGTCATCATCGGCTGAAAAACCACTGACAGTGTATATTAAAACCTCACCGTGCCTCACATCCAGCCAGGGATGCGGTCCTCATTCAGACTTGACCGTCTTTGAAACTTTTACTTCATGTTGTATTCTGAGCAAAAGATAGAAAAATATTAGCGGGAACGTAAAAGGCATTACCATTTTTTAAATATATTTAAGAAGCCTCAGGATCAACAGTAGAATCACAAGCTGTAGGTCAGCTGTCATAGTAGGTGTCAGAAATTAGTTTGTCATCACCGGCTCATTTGCATTAAAAAGGTTCCTCGATTTACGACGCTACCGCCAGTCCAAGGTTAGATACACAACGTAGCACAAAGCGGCAGGCCGTTTTGCATTGGATTACTATATCTGTAGCCTTGAATTGGTTTTAAACGCTTAGATTGACTCTTCCGATAACTTTGGCTCGTATAAGCGGTCTTGCGTACAAATTCGTCGTAAACCGAGGGCCCTTTTTCAAAAATTGGACTCACTCTGCTTAGCGTCCTCACGTTCGTTGATGGGCTCTTCATCTGCTCTCACTGTGAAAAGAATTGGATTATCTGTGTTACTTTTTTTTTTCTTTTGCCCAAATTTAGATCGGCGTCATTTTATAAAATCACAGTTCAGTTGAATGGATAACGTTCGTTGCTCACTGCTCGCCCATTTTCTTAAAACGCTCAATTTAACGGAAATGATCAAACTTAGCGCCCGGTTTATAACAACAACATATTAAAGTTAAAAAAAATTATTTGAACAATTTGAATCCAATTTTGCTCTTCATCGCGCACATGGCAAGACACCACATGGTGTCGACCTCCGAAGCGTCTAAGACAAAAACTCACCTCTGCTATGTTCGGTTCTTTTCTTTTACTGCAGTGGTAAAACCTCTGAAAGTTAAACAGGGGACTATGTGGACCGTCCTTGCCATGATTTGGTTTTGAACAAATTTGAAGGAGGGTAAATGAGTCCACTTCAACGTGGCCTTCTATCGCTGCAGAAAAGGAAAGAGAGCGGAAACGGAAGGACAAATAACTGAGAGGTCCAACCGGAAGTACCGCCCCCCCCCCTACTGTACTCTCCAGAATAAAATAGATCAGACGAGCAAAAAGTTTGTACGGTTGTTTCATACGTCGCCCTAAAGCAGAAGTTTGGGCACTAACCTTTTTGAAAGTGACAGCTACTTTCTTGGTTATTGATGAATGCGACGGGCTGCCAGTTTGATAACCACATCTGTCATTGTGTATATATAACAAAACAGGAATTAGTTTTATCCCGATGTCATTCTCACCTGCGTTGTTATGTCCAATGAATGGGATGGCCATCCAGATAGATAATAAAAACTGCTGAAGCAAGCGAATTAGAGCCCAGAAAGCGCACAAGTTTAATCCTTACATTTATTCTGTTCACATCTGTACAGGAATGCATCGTCACATCAGAAAACCAAACCTCGAGACCCGACTGTGGCACAACGGCCTTCACAACACATTCAGCCATAAATGAACAGACTTGATCAGCTCGCCGCCGATCCATAATTAATATTGTCATTTTTCCCTTATATCTGTCTCTCAAATATATTTTGGGATCTTTTTTCCAAAAGGGAATTAAAAATACAAGTAGGCTCTTTATTGGGGGACTCCACCAGTGGAAATCAGGAGCTGAGGGCAGGGGGGGGGGCAGCAAAGGTGACTGAGAACAGCTTAAAGAAGGGCTTGCAAAAATGCTTCTCAATAGTCAAACCTACAAGCGTCTTCTAACATGAATACGCTGGGAGATTCATGAGGGGGCATCAAACAAAAAGGGTCGGCAAACAACAACAATAACAACAACAACAGGAAAAAGTATGAAAGAACACGACCAAGGCACAGAGAGATGCAGAGTAAACAAATCATTAACACTGGGTTGAAGGTGGGGCAGAGGCAGTTTGACTAACCGACAATAGAGGGAGCTCTAACAGCTCAAACGCCCAGATACTGTGTCTATCATCAACTATACTGGATGTACTATATAAAGCGTTGAAATATAGTATTATCTTTGAAAGAAAAAGAAAAAAACACCGTTCACTGCAGCGGGACGAGAGGGATACATCATGTGCTTGCATGTGTTTTTGCATAATGCGTGTATGTAATTTTGATTCTGAGCAATCACGCCACCAAAACAACCAGCAACATTATAAAATAGGATGTGAATACGTTTGTGTTTTGCGGAGGTGGGAGCAAGTCACAAAGTGAGTCTCAAGTATTAGTCTGTAAGTCTCAGGTTAGTGTGTCAATGGAAAGTCTTTGTGATTGTTTTTTTTTTTTCTTTTGTAATTGACGGATGGAGTTTGATGTGGTCATTGTTGTTTCTTATTTGAGTTGAAAACGCTGTCAGTCTCTTTTTTATGTGAACCCCTTCAGGGACAGCGGTTACGACGGTGGACAGCTTATCATGTCATCACATGACCCAGTGCATGAAAGGGTTCAAACAAAAAAAACATCATCCTTCAGACTAAAAGTAATTAACTTCTGAGCTTCCTCCGTAAAGCATTTCATGAGCGAACTCTGCCCTGCGCATCACACTGTTGCATGTATTTAAAAAGCAGAAATGAGAGCTACCGATACTAGCCACCAATACTTAAGGCAAAAAAGTCAGACATGGAATAAGTCTTCCCCACCTGAAGTTGACATTACGCGACGCCATATCGGTGAATCATAATTTGCTTCAGAAATAAAGAAGGGTCTTTATTCACAATTATTTGCCATGATGTTTAATTAACCCTTTCATGCACCCTGTAACCTGATAACATGACAAGCTGTCCACTGTAGTAATCGCTGTCCCTGAGGGGGTTAAAATTGTCATTTTAAACATCATTACAATTTATTTACACATAATGTTAATGAGATAATGAGACTTAGTCTATCAAAAGTACAAGGTACTGTTCCTCAGTATCAGCATCAGGCAAAAGGGAATACTTGCATCGGTCGGAAAAAAAGAACATCATGAAATAATCCTCTTTATGTACTCACGAATACTTGGCTCCCCTAATTTGCTGGTTACTATCTATTTTCTAGGGCTGTGGGGAAAACAAAAGTATAACTTGGAAAAGTTGGTGCTCTGCGAGGTAAATAACGATGAATTGTATTGTATTTTCTCGCGAAATGACAGTAGTTCAATTCTGAGTCGAGTCTCGGAAACAAAGTCAACGTTAAGTCTTTAAAAAGCTTGAGTCAAGCAAGTCCCAAGTCCTAAAATTGGCAACTTAAGTCTGACTCGAGTCAAGTCACGTGACTCCAATCCCCCCCACCTCTGGTGTTTCGGTACCGGCCGGAATTGCGGGCACACATCCTTGCGATCGTTGGAGTAAGTAGGGTGTGAATTATTGGAAGGAGGACATTGACATTTCGTTATAGGACGACACACACTCCTAACTGGACGACAACAACAGCAACAACAACGACGTGAACAGAGAAATGCATCTCACACACGGGCACACACACACCCGCACACACATCAGGAGCTTCTGTGGACCGCTCTCCTTCATCCACATGGAAGAAGAGAAGTAGGAAAACTGCATCCGCGGGAGACAGGGACGCGCATGGTTTATTTTGCATGTTGCTTTTTTTTTTTTTTTTAACACTCAACTGTTTGCTCCCTGTCTGTCCCCGCCTTCCTCTCCAGTGAGTCAGTCCATGTGCTTTTATTTTTTTCTCGTCTGAAGAGATGAGAATGATTGTGCTTCTTCTCTGTCAGGTCAGAGCATCAGTAGCCATGTTGTGTGTGTGTGTGTGTGTGTGTGTGTGAGAGAGAGAGAGAGAGAGAGAGAGAGAGAGAGAGAGAGAGAGAGAGAAAATGTGGTGGGCCCCAAGTGAAGGACACCTTGGACACTTGCGGCCTTTGGAGCGATTTTTTTCGACGCCATCCGGAGAAAGGCGGCGGGCGGGCGGAGGGACGGAAGGGATTAAAACTCGATCAGTCGAGCATGGCGTCCAGTTGGTCGGCCAAGTCGTCGAACATGCTGCCGATGTCATCCAGGATGGACACGGTTGTCTTTTTGCTGGAGAAAGAGAGAGAGCAGCGAGAATGAGTGGATAAGAAGTAGGGGTGGAATGAAAACCAATTTGAATTGGAAAATGTTTGGAAAATGGGATTTTGAGTCGTATGGTAACAGTATCGAGTTGAATCGTGATCCCGCTAAATGGAACCGAATGGTCACATTTTAAAATAAAAAAAACAACAACTTTGAATCGTATTGCACCCCAAATATCAAGAGATGTATCCAAACGTCTTTTATTAGAGAGATGCACACCCTTGAACCCTATTGCGCCTCAATGTTCTGTTTTCAAATTGGTGACTTTGGCCACAGCGGAAGGACCCAAGAGCCAGATGTGGCTCTGGAGCCGCTGGTTGCAGACCCTAGATTGAAAGTTTCATTGAAGGTTGGCTCAGTGATGTTGCTCCCGAAAGGAATTGCGATTCCCAGCAGCCTCCGTGTGCCCACCGACGAGGATTAGAGGCCATCTGGCGCTAATTAAAGCTGTGCCCATTTCAGAACACTTGCGACACAAGTGCTGCCCTACTTGTTCGTGATGTCCAACAAGTACAGACATGAAATTGTTTCCGCCTCCTCGCGTAGCAAAATACTCACTCATTTTGCGCATCGTCTTCTTGGATTTTGTGCTCGGCAACCTGTAAAGCTGCAGCCAAAGAGGCGCTGGTCTCCTCCAGACGATGCTGCGCCCCCTCGTCTTCCTCCCCTTCCTTCTGTACCGGCTTCTTCTCTTGTTCCTCCTCTTCCTCTTTGTGCTTCTGGCGGGGGGCTGGCGGCCGCAGGGCTGGTGGCTGCCGGGCTGGTGGCGGTCGAGGCGACGGCAGCCTTGCCTGGTTTGGGTGCTGTCGGAGGGCCGCGAGGTTTGGGTGACACAGGAGGAGGAACACGCTTTGTCTCTGCCGTAGAAAATAATAGAGAGGCTGTCACACACATCAAGAATCCATACGTTTTAGCTCACGAATGATTTAGGAAAAATGTATCCCCGTAATAACAGAATTTGACATTGATACATTCATCCATCCCATCCATCCATTTTCTGATCCGCTTTATCCTCACAAAGGTCGCGGGGGGTACTGGAGCCTCTCCCAGCCGTCTTTGGGCAGTTGGCGGGGGACACCCTGAACCAGTTGCCAGCCAATCGCAGGGCGCACACAGACAAACAACCATCCACGCTCACACTCACACCGAGGGACAATTTCGAGTGTTCAATCAGCCTGCCATGCATGTTTTGGGAATGTGGGAATAAAAACCGGAGTACCCGGAGAAAAGCCACGCAGGCCCGGGGAGAACATGCAAACTCCACACAGGGGGGCCGCAGCTGGAATTGAACCCGGTACCTTTGCACTGTGGGGTCGACGCGCTAACCACTGGATCACCCGATATATATTATGAATAATAATAATAACATACAAAGTGGTACAGAAAATATAAAAATAACCATTCTATATTTTCAAATACACAGTGATGCCTTGAAATACCAGTGTCCAGAGGAACGGGTTTTTCCAGCTGTGAGCCATCACTTGACCATTTTTTAAATCTTAAAATACAAAGAAAAAAAATGGAGGTACTGCGATTGGCTGGCAAGCGGTTCAGGGTGTCCCCCGCCTACTGCCCGAATGAAGACAGCTGGGATAGGCTCCAGAACCCCCCGCGACCCTTGTGAGGATAAAGCGGATCAGAAAATGGATGGATGGACAATTGAGGTACGACAACACCAACGTCTGCCGAACATCAATTCACACGGGTTTCTTTGCAGCGGAAGGACAATATCAGATGGTAGCAGTGATGCCAAGATTTCTCACAATACCGCACTGAACAAGAAGCACAAACAGAATATCAAAATCTTCATGTGAATGTCTTACCAGGACTCTGTGCAGCGTCAGCGCTGTCAGGACCGGGTATGGGGACCCGTCGAGTCGGGGTTGGAGGGTCGGGTTGCGTTTTTCTCAGCGCCACCGAGGAAGGTTTGGGCGAGACCGGTGGCTTCAGGGACTTCCTGGCCTCCATCCACTCACAGCTCTCCCTACTCTTCTCCGTCCTGTCGGACGTCTCCGACACGGGCCTCCGCCTCAGCACAACCCCCCCGTTTTGCTGCCGGCAACTGTTGCCCGGACTTTTGGACGAGTCTGATTGTTGATTGCTTATTTGGATGACGGCTTCTGATTGCTCAGCCACTCGCTGTCTCCTCCGTAAGGTATCAGAGCCGGTTGTCATGGTGACCACCGTGGGAGACACGGGCGATACGGGGTCCGTCGAAGGAGGGCGAGGTTTCCTTCGGAGCGTCGACGAGCCGTCTGAGATCTCGGCGCCGGAGGAGACAACAGTGGAACGGGGTCGCGGTTCTGGACGTTGCTGGGCCGGTTGCGCGGGGACCTCCTCCTCATTGCCTTCTGGTCGACTGACGGTCCTGTGTCGATTCAGGACGTCGTCATCTTCCGATCCAAGACCGCCTGAGCCGGCCTGGCGACGGAGTGTTGGGGGGCTCACCTGGAAAAGACATGATCGTTAAGACATTTCAAGCGTGGAGGCGAAATGGAGCGCGCTACTTGGCAGCCTCTTGATTCGCTTCAACCAAACTGCACGTTGGTGAACTGAAGCAAACTGTCGTGCTTGATGGAAACCTGGTTCAATACGTGACAAAGACCGTATCCGGACTGAACACACAAACACCTGCGCGTAGTTGGCGCTGCTTCCCAGATTCCTCGGCAGGGTTGCGGCTCCGCTCACAATGGACGTCTCCAGCATGGCGGCGAGGCTGCGCACACTCCCAGAAGCCCCCTCCGATCTCCCCAGCCCGGCCGACTCCTGAACTCTTAAAGCCGAGCCCAGGCTGCCGCAGTCGCTGGCTCGCCTTTCTCGAAACGTCGGCAGGCCGAGGAGCCCCTCCCCTTGTCCTTCCCCCTCCCCATCGGCCCCCGTGATGGAAGAGCAGGACCGCTTCGGAGGCGTAGGGGGCCGACCTTTCCGCCGAGGACGGAGTGTGACCGACGATTGGCTGCGGTTCACGGTGACGTCGTTGGCGGGGCTGCGCGCGGAACTGCTGCGGCACACGGTGGCGTAGCGCGAGTCCGTTTCAGAGCCGATCAGGCTGTGAGTTCTCCGTCGCTCCTCCTCCTCGCTCGGTAGCCGGAGCGTCGGCACGGGCGAATCTGCCACCGTCGCCCGCTGGGCGGAAGGTCTCGGCCGAGCCCGAGGGGAGGCCTGCTGGTTTCGAACGTGCGTGGGGGTTTGTGGTGGCGTTTGCGTCGGCGTGTGCGCGGCGTTTGGAGATTGAGAGACACTCGGGCGTGGTTTCGCCAACGGGCTTGGACCACCTTCTCGCTGTACCCTCGCTTCCGTGCGGGGCTCCGAGACGCTCCCGCCGCCCGGGCTCGATGGAGGTGTGGAGGGACTTTGCTGAGCCTCCGGATCAAGACTTCCTCTCTGTAAGTCCTTCAGTCTCTTCACTCCTAACATTAGCTTCTTCTGGTGACCTGAGTGAAGACAAGCGGAAGGAGCGTCTGTCAAGAAAACGGATACATTTCCTATTCCTCCAACCGGCAAGGATACACCGAGGTTGAGAGACCGACTTGCGAGCGTGGGTTAAGAAAAAGCCGACGATGAAAACTCGATTCCCTCGGGAAGGCCGAGGTTAAGAGAACAAACAGTCAACGACCAAAAGGATCGAAGCGGAAAAGTGAATGAGCAAAATATTGTCTCGATCTTCACGTCACCAATTTCAAAATGACCTCCTAAATGACCTTACCAAGTTTGGAAATACCGATCTCCTGAAGATCCTCCAGGCTGATGTCCGAGATGAAGTCGATGTTTTCGTAACCGTTCTGCACCAGGACTTGGTAGTATTGACTGAGACCCAAGTGAGAAAGGAACTCTGCCAAATTGGCCTACAAAAACACACACACGGGCCCGGTGAAATGAAGACGGCTCATTTCAAGCCTCTTTGCATTGTTTTGTAACAGACTGAATATGCAGTGTGTGAATCAGCTTCTGAATGTGCAGCTGCCAAAATCTACTGATCCTGTTCGCTTGCGATTTGCCAAGTACACGTGCGATCCTTACGGGCTTGTGCTCTGGCAGCCAGTCCGCCGAGGGCAGCTTGCTGATCTCTGACATTAACTTCTTCCGATGTCCGGGCTTCATCACCCCAATCGCCGTCATGTCCTTCGATGCAGAAAATAAAACAATAAATAAAGATATGAAATTTACCGCAACCTTTTCACTATTTTGGAAATGCAAACCATTTGATGCATCCAGTCGAGATTTGCGCATGGGATGCATTTAGCTCGAGGAACGTTATGTCTTGATAATCTCTGGTGAGCGGCCCCCGCTTAAGGGGTTTACATCATAGCGCCGCGTCAGCTTTAATACGCAGACACAGTCACATACATGGACACACAGCGGCGCACTCGGGGACAACTACAGAACCAGCTCAGGCGGGAGTACGGAGCCATTTGAGGAGAACACAGATATGTAAATGGGGCGGACAGAATACGGGAAGCGACCGGTGAGGAAGAAGGTGTGTGTGGGCGGGGGGGCTTGTCAGGTGACTGAGACACGAGGGTCATGATGACATTGTATGGGTCCGTGAGTGTTGTGAGCTATGTCGAGCGAAATCTTGACAAACAAAAGGGGCGGGGCACGAGGGGGTCAGGGGTTCTTGACCTTACCTCGGGGGTCATGCGGCTAACAGTGTCGAGATCATATCCCGCCGTGAGGAAGTGGGTGGTGTAGAACTGCAGCTGAAACTCACCCAGCCACGCCACCACTGCCTGCTTCTAGAACACACAACACAACATGCTCGCGCTTGCTTCGAGAGCACAAAACACGGCTGTTGGAACCCAGAACCGAGGGATTATTCCGTTGCCTGCTTCTAGAACGCAACTTGCTACCGTCGACTTCTATCGCACATGACACTGCTGTGTGCATCTAGAACAGAGACAGGAAGATATCACTGACTGATTCTAGAACTAAACATGCTACTCCCAGCTTCTAGAGCAGAGGACAGTGCTGCATGCAGCTCGTATGTCACCACCTGCTGCTAGAGCACCGAACAGTTGTTGTGCATCTGAAATGGAAAGAACAAGATTCTAGAATACAATCATGGTGCCAGATTCTAGAGGCGATACACTGTTTCGACTTTGTAGAACGCTGAGCACAACATGCTCCCGCCTGCTTCTAGAATTTGCTATATGCCTCGAAAAGCGCTGCCTGATTCTAGAACACAGCCAGTAGCTTTGTATCCTTCATTTTGAGCCCAAAATAGATCCTACCGCTGTCTGTTTCTATTTTACTGAACAGAATAGTCGATGACTTGCCTCTAGAACACATAATCTCAATGTATGGGCCTTGACCGTGGGGAACGAGATATTTCTCGACACAGCTTCGTACTGCCTGTTTCCAATGGATAGTACACCACTGTAAGCCTCTCGAAAGGGACCACCATGACACACCGCCTGTTTCTACAAGATAATATACTATCGTTTTTTTCTTGAGCACATGCGGTAGGCTAACATGACACACCGCCTGTTTCTACAAGATAATATACTGTCGTTTTTTTTCTAGAGCGGATGCGGTAGGCTATTACTGTCTTTTCTAGACTAGAGAATATTTTGCCAGCTTCTAGGACACAATATTCGACACTATTGCTGAATTGTACAACACACTACAGGACTGAGAACACATTATACAATTCACTCAAGACAATAGTAAAGTATATCTTTAGCTGAGGTTGGTTTCCAAACCCACTTACTGGGTAGTTCTGGATTTCAAGCAGACTGGGTTACTTTTACCCAGGGATTGGGTTAATTTTTTTTTTTTTGGATCCAGCAGTTTGGGTTGAAGATTGGATTTGGGCAGGCTAAAGAGCTAAAATCGGTGACCATTTTAGAGTTTTGTGAACTGAAGTTGAAGTAAATTTCAGGAACGTTTTTTTTAGAAAATGTCAGTGGGTAACACGAGTGGCCTCGGATGCAATGATGGAGGTTTAAATGCAGGTCAGGGCATTTGGGGCATCCGGTGTAAAAACTGTGCCCACACATCATGTGCGTGACTTGTAGCAACCCCCAGAAAGGAGAAACCTGCATCATCATCATAGGGAATGTTAGTCCTAAAATTATTTTTAACACCGAAAGCCATGACTTGGTAATTGTAACTCATCAGTGTCGGTAGTTATTAGCCCAAATCCTCATCCCAACGTACTAAATAGCCATTCCATCCAATTTAAGGTTCGTTTTGACGTGACCGTTTTAAGTGTGACCCTCCCTTACATAACACAACATGCCAGTTTATCTCTCGGAGACGAAACAGAGCAATCAGAACTCGTTCTAGAACACCACATCGAGTCGGTTATGTTCTTACACGGCAGGGAATTGTACCCATCGCTGTTTGATATTTTCATAAGCATGGAGACAGAGGACAAGAGGGAGGAGATCATACTTGAATACAGATCACAAGATATAAGAGGCAACCCCCGTGAAAGCGCTAATCTTCAAATCTATAGGAGTCGTTTAACAGCAGGGTGAAGGCGTATTGCCTTCACACCGTGGCAAGCCGTGATGTAAAAAAAATAAATAAAATAAAATAATAATAATAATAATAATAATACAAGCCGTGTCTGAGTGCTAAAACAACCGTTTGCAAGTGGGCAAGAAGAGGACAATTCAGAAGCTCTGCTGACCTGCGACTTGAATTTCTACAGGTGACAGAGAGGAAAACAATCTTCAATCCTTCAGCAGATCATTTCATGCGGTTTTTCGGACAAAGAGTGTGCAATTTGAAAAACGAGAATGTCCAGAGAAAAACAACAATTTCAATGTCACACCTCGTCTGCGTGACGATACAAAAATCTCGGCAAAATAACGCTCAGGGATTGAAGCGCAGCGGAAGAAAGGATGAAAGTCATTTGGGGCAGATATGTTTGGCAGAGCAAAGAAAAAAAAAAAAAGAGTGTGCATGTCAAGATTGCTCTCGCTGCTTTTTCGTAATTAGGGTGAACCGACCCTTCAAATAGCTTTTGGCACACGCCCTGAATGATGTCCGCGGTTAAGTCCGAGATAATTCCCTCATTTACCGCTCCCTGCTCGATTCGGGGAGTCGGATGGAAATGAACACATGGGCGAGCTGGCTCAGCAAAGTGAAAAGAAAACATTTTTGCTTTTCCCTGCATGATTAATAACCATCACCAAGGCCTTGATCAAACATGCGCCATGCATTAGAAAGGACCGCACGCTTGTGTTGTGCTGTCATTAATGCTCCAATAAATGACATCCCCGTAATAAAAAATAAAAAAAAGGAGGTTCCTAGACTGACAAATTTAAATGACAATTTTCTCACCTGAAAAACATTGAACCCTTTCCTGCACCCTGTAACCTGATAACCTGATAAGATGTCCACTGTAGTAACCGCCGTCCCCGAAAGGGTTAATCCGTTCCAACCTCGGAAAAATCTATGAAAATGTGTTTTAAGTAAAGAAATCAAATATATGAAAAAACATAATAAAACATTCCAAACTAATGTAAAGAAATGAAATGGTTTTATTCATCTAATAACTGTATGTACTAGTGTGTTGGATGTGTGCCTTTAAAGGGGCGTAACCTAGTGAGTGACATCAGGAGTGTGTGAACTGTTTTCCTGCCTATATTAAAGATAAGCGCCAAAGCCCTGCCTATATACAAACTGAAATTTTGAATGTGAAATGATAAAGTGTTTTTTTTGGTGGGGGGGTGTCATATTTTATGGTATATTTACAGTTTAAACTCTTAATATGGGCAATTATTACTATTTATGGGGGGAGGGGGCTCTCATTAACGCACAGTTTTTCACTATTCGCTCCCTGCTTGATCCTGGTTACTCTAATATGTCGCTGTCGTGTACTTGTTCATTCACAAATATTTTTCAGTGCCGCAGAGCGTGATGTCACTGTGAGCCCCTCCAATGAGGAGAATGCGGCGCAAACAGAAGCTCGCAGAAGGCGCCGCACGCTTGCTTCAGCTCCTCACATCACGCAGTGCGGCCGGCAGGTGAATTGCGCAGCGGCATGAGAGTGGAAGTGCTGGGAGACAAGACAGCCAAGAAACCCACTGATTCTTCCATGTGTCTGTATCTCTGCCTGTCTCCATGGCGACAGCGGGAAACCGAGGAGCCATGAGCATTCGCAGGTAAAAGCGGAGACCGCACTCCCGCAAGGCAATCCCTCCCTAACCAGAGGAGCGAGAAATCAGCCCAAAAATTAAAAAAAAAAAAAAACTCACTTTCCCATCGTCCTCCTCAGCCTTGCGTTCAAATGGCCGTTGCTCGTGAACAGTGGAAGCAGAAGAGCCTTGAAGTCAAGGTGAGGAAAAAAAAAAACACAGAAAAGAGAAAATATATTAAAGTCAAAGCATACCGTATTTTCCACACGATAAGGCGCA